GATGTTGGCGCTTCACCTCACCTACTGAGGAAGGAGACCCACCAGTAAAGAGATGGTCTGGACCAGACCAAAGTGAGTGATGACACCTCAGCCACCCTCATCATTAAGAACACCTCACCCCCTGAATCCCTCCGTCTGATGACAGCAGAGTGATTTATTTGATGTTTTACTTGTTTAGTCTGTTTAGAAATGATAGAATAACATTATTTTCTGTAATCGACCATCTGATCTGGATGTGTGCAGAATAACTTTCCCCAAGTTCAGCAGCAGCTGGCCTACAAAAACAGCTGCAGCATGTAGTAAGTCTGTCTGCGCTGCTCTCTAATGAGCTTCCTTTCATAAGGAATCATTTGTATAATTTTAGTGTCACTATTTTATTACATTTGTAAGAATATGAAGTCACTGCAGCAAAGTGAACTTGTGAACAAACACAAACGTGACTATAAACATGAAAGCTAAAGAACCAACTTTCCTAAAGCTGCTTGTAAACAAAATATGTCATTAAAGTTATTGTCTATCATTGCAGAATATGGCGATGACATCATGGAACTGGTCTTTGGAAAAGTTTTCCCTGAACCAACTCCGTTTCTAGATGAGGTAGAGAAGATCAGCATCTCACCAACCCTCTGGTCTCAGAGACAACGGAGGTCTCCCACTGTTATCCAGGACCAGTTTGAAGCCCACATACTGCCCCTTCCTCATCATCAGGAAACATCAATCCGTATCCTGAGGACAACAGAAGACGGCAGGAGGACAGGAACTCTGAGACCTAGATACCACCAGCACCGGGACACAAAGCACCTGTGTGCACAACGCCTGTTTAACTACTAAAGCCTGTTTATTATATAGTTCTACTTATTTGCTGTGAGGTTAATACTTAGAAAATTTGTATATTAATGTAAACAATAAAAAAATCACTGATTGTATGTTTTCTTTTAGATGTAATGGTCCAAACTCAGCCTTGTAGACATTTATTGCATCCTGTAGGTAAATACACAGAACAGGCTCAGATCCAGGATGACCCAGCATGCTCTTCTTCCATTCTGGCTGTTAGGGATTGTATCAATAACTCAATGCCTACTGATGTTTTCACCTAACGGTATTTATTTAGAATGCAGGTCAGATTTAACTATATTTGTTAGTAAAGTAGACTGATCTTGGGAATTTCACTGCAGCATTGATGTCCACCTCTCTGTACACATTAGAGAGAATTACCACTTTACAGCTAAACACATATTTAATAAAGATATAGGCTACGTATTGCAGACAATAAAAACAAAGTTGTAAGCATTAGAATTATAATGATCACATTAAAGAACACTTGGAGGAATGTTCTTTATTTTTGACTAGAATCTCAAATCTTTAAATTAAAATGTAACTGCTTTTTATCCATTTTCAGCCATTAAGACACCCAATATAAAATAAGACTACTTATAAAATTATTAGTATGTATATATATATATATATATTTATATAGATAGATAGAGATCTTAATAAAATATATTCTTTTAATGGTGTTTTAATGAGCTGTATCATTTTTTAAAACATTTCTATAGAAATAAATCAGCAAGCAGCATTCCTTGTGTGTGTGTGTGTGTGTGTGCGCGCGCCTGCTCGCTTGTCCTTCCGTCGGCTGTGACGGATGTGTGTGTGTGCGCGCGCACGTGCCTGCTCGCTTGTCCCTCCGTCGGCCGTGACGGGTGTGTGTGTGAGTGACTACAGACAAATGCATGAGAGTTAGCAGCCATGAAACAGCTTGATGAACTACTCTCCCCACATGTTTTAAAAAATGCTAATATGCTATGCTAAATCTGCTATGCTAAATAATGATTTCTCTATAGAACTACAAAGTCCGACTGGGGGAGGAGAGTACAGGTCTGCACTATGGAGGGGGGGGGCGGAGTTTACAGCTCCTCCTCCAGTTTAAAGAGACAGAACCCAAAAACGGCTCGTTCTCAAGACTCTCCTCAGAACAGGGGTAGATGAGGGTCTGTAGAGCAACAATAATGAGGAAATCAGACCAAAGAACTGCAGTTCTACTGTATTTAGACCCCAACTGAAGGATTTAGATGTAAAAAGGAATAACTTAAAAGCATGTTATGTCTCCTTTAAAATACAAACAGTTGTATGTTATTTATCGTGATATTTATCAAATATGGTTATAAATTTAGAAAAATATATATTTAATATTTTTAATTCTCTTTTATGATTAAACACTCAAACGTATCGAAAATTGGTACCGTTAAGTACCGGATCGATTCAAATGTCAAAGGTACCCATCCCTAGTCAACCAAGACAGTCCTACAACATCCAAAGCCTTGAGATACCCAGGTCAGATCTCATCCACCCCAGGGGCTGCATAGTTATTTGACTACCTCAGCGACTTCTGCCCCAGAGATCTCCCAGCTCTCAATCCTCCTCTGTGTCGGTGGGATTGAGGAGCTCCTCAAAGTGTTCCTTCCACCACCCGACTATAGCCCCAGTTGATGTCAACAGCTCCCCATTCCCACTGTAAAAAGTGTGAGCAAGTTGCTGCCTTCCTTCTCTGAGGCGCCCAATGGTTTTCCAGAACCTTTTTTGGAGCTGATCAATAGTTTCTCTCCATGGTCTCGCCAAACTCCTCCCACACCCAACATTTTGCCTCGGCAACTGCCACTACTGCACCTCGCTTGGCCCTCCAGTACCCGTCTGCTGCCTCTGGAGACCCACAGACCAGCCACGCCCTGTAGGCCTCCTTCTTCAGCTTGACAGCTCCTCTAACCTCTGGTGTCCACCAAAGGGTACAGTGGTTACTGCCACGACTGGCACCAGCCACCTTACGACCATAGTTAGCAACAGCTGCCTCAACAATTGCAGAGCAGAACAAGGCCCAATCAGACTCAATGTCCCCCACTCCTCTCAGGACGTGGTCAAAGCTCTGCCAGAGGTGGGAGTTGAAGACCATCAGGATAGATTCATCTGCCAGGCATTCCCAGCAGACCCTCACAATACATTTGGGTTTACCAGGTCTGCGCAGCATCTTACCCTGCCATCTGATCCAGCTCACCACTAGGTGGTGATCAGTTGACAGCTCCGCTCCTCACTTTACTCGAGTGTCAAAAACATAAGGTCTCAGGTCAGATGACACAACTACAAAGTCAATCACTGACCTGTAACCTAGGCTGCCCTGGTATCAGGTATACCGATAGGCATCCTTAAGATGCGCAAGTTGCAGTTTGACCATAACAAACACCATGTTTAGTGTGGCCAAACTGCGACTTGCACACAAGTCCAATAACAGAACACCACTGAAGTTCAGATTGGGAGGGCCATTCCTCCCAATCATGCCACTCCAGGTCGTGCCATCATTGCCAAGGTGAACAACGAAGTCCCACAGCAGGAGTATGGAGTCCCCAGTTAGAGCACCATCTGGTACTGGTCCCGGGGATTCCAAAAAGTGTGGGTAACCACAAAGTCGCAGGGAAGCTACCCTTTCGTCCCCCGGCGATAACCCCAACATGCAGGCAGAGTCTTGGGGCTACCAGAAAGAGTAATATTAGAAGAATCCAGTGAACAACGGTTCATATTGTGTTGTTCTAGGTTTCCCCTCGGTGTAAAACAAGTATCCAAAGGATCATAACACAACATACTTGAAAGGTTTTGTATTTTTTAAAATACGTTTTGAACATTAAATGTTCTGTAAATTACATTCTATTCCTTTTAGAAGCAGTTGATCTTATGTGTGAAAATGTTCAAAATCAGTCTTTTTGACAAATATAAATGGAGGAAAAGAATATATCGTGACATAGATTTTAGGCCATATGGCCCATTCCTACCCCAGGGTTTCCCCCTGCGCTTTATAAGCCAGGCGGCCCGCCAGGCTTTGCTTGGCCACCCGCCAGGCTAAGCGTCATGCCCCGCCCTCCTGTCCGACCTTACCGAGTCCGCTGCCACGAACGGCGTAACGAAACTAGAGCCCTCCATCAGTTGATACTGGTGAGAAATAGCAGCGGAACGTGTGCAACCCCCCCACCCCTGCTATCATGGAGGAGTGCTGTGGGACGATGTGCGTGACTCCCCCACCCCCGGCTCAGCCCTCTCTTCACAACGACAAATTGGTACAAAACTAACATCACTGCAGATGCAGCACCAATACGCCTGTCGATCTCGAACTCCATCTTTCACTCACCCGTGATCAAGACTCTGAGATACTTAAACTCCTCCACTTGAGGTAGGACCTCATCCCTGACCCGGAGAAGGCATTCTACCCTTTTTCGACTCAGGACCATGGTCTCGGATGTAGAGAAGATGATTCTCAACCCAGCTGCTTCACACTCAGCTGCGAACCGCACTAGTGAGAGCCAGAGATCACGTTCTGATTAAGCCAACAAGACCAGATAATCTGCAAAAAGCAGAGACCTGATCCTCAGGCCACCAAAACAGATCCCCTCAACACCTTGGCTGCACCTTGAAATCCTGTCTATAAAAGTTATGAACAGAAGTGACAAAGGGCAGCCTTGGTGGAGTCCAACTCTCACCGGAAACGAGCTCAACTTACTGCTGGCAATGGGGATCACGCTCTGGCACCGGTCATAGAGGGAACTAACAGCTTGTATCAGAAGGTTGGTACCCCATACTCCTGAAGTACCCCCTAAAGGGTCCCCGACGGATGCGGTCAAATCCTTTCTCCAAATCCACAAAACACATGTAGATTGGTTGGGTAAACTCCCACGCACCCTTCAGGACTCTCCTAAGGGTATAGAGCCAGTCCAGTGTTCCACGGCCAGGACAAAAATGAGGATTGTTAAAGTTAAATAATTCACATAACAAGACATGAACAAGACAGGAAGTGAGAAGTGGTTCAGCATTAAGGAGATTTAAGGAAATGATTTTCATTTCAGTTGTACGTTCTACTTTTGTGGAATCGTCCACACGTTTGACTAAGGGGGTACTCGTGGTACGAGAAAATGGCGCAGGCGGTCCACATGTCAAAAAAAGGTTAGGAGACACCGTTGTAATACCTTACTCATCATCTTGAACCCTGTATGAAGTAGCTTCTTAGCTGCTTTGTAGTACACCGTCTCTGGTCGGTTGTACACCATGGCATTATCACACATCAATTTAAAGTCTGCCTGTAAAACAAAATAGTTTAGCCACAGGTGCAGAACAACCAATGCTCTATGAACACTTAGCCCCCTTCCCATCTCTTGTTCAGAGCTGCTCAGTAAGATAAAATCACCTTGAATTCAGTTATTGTGTTGTATTCATTGTTTTTTATTTTGTCTTTTATGGTGCTGAAGTCCATAGGATGCTTGATGATCGATGAGTAACCAGGTGCAATCGCATCTGTTACTGGACACGCAAAGAACCCATGTGGGTCTTTTCTGAAAGTACAAGAAATGAACAATTATTTTGATATTAAACTTTTTAGCTTTCCAAACCATACAAATTGCAAACTTAGATTTTAAAGGTACATGTGGCAGTTATGTTTGCTTGTAGCATCCTCTAGTGTCAGTTTAGTAGAAACAAAAGCTAAACTTATCTCGCTGTGCCCTCGTCTCAATTTAACTGCTAAAATGTCTCTCCAGCCTTCATTAGTTTCTACAGATGTGATTCATATCTAAATCAAACAAATCAGCTGTGTTCACAATCTAAAACACGCAGGAAGCATGCTGGAAGCAGACTGCTGCACCAGGTATGTCAGCAGCATTGTCTGCAACAGACCGGACTGGTACTACTAAGTTGCAATTGTGATATTCTAGCCACAGAGGGGGGTAGAAGTCAGAGCAACATTTCATTACATTTTTCATTGGGGCAGCTGTAGCTCAACAGGTTGAGCGGGTTTCCAGCATTCGGAAGGTTGCAGGTTCGATCCCGGCTCTGGACAGAGAATTCTGCTGTTGTGTCCTTGGGCAAGACACTTAACCCACCTTGCCTGCTGGTGGTGGTCGGAGGGACCGGTGGTGCCTGTGCTCAGCAGCCTCGCCTCTGTCAGTGCGCCCCAGGGCAGCTGTGGCTACATCGTAGCTCATCACCATCAGTGTGTGAATGTGTGTGTGAATGGATGAATGATACACTGTAGTGTAAAACGCTTTGGAGTCCTTACTCTGAGAGGCGCTATACAAGTGCGGGTCATTTATCATTTATTTATCATTAACCTTGTAAAGGGTAATTTTAGCACATGTCGGTCCAAAAATGATTTAAAAATATGAAAAAGTTGCATAGAATGGCTTTAATACCTCAAAATATTCTGTGTTCTTTCAACAGAATATTTGGTTCACTGAAAACACCTTGAAGAAGAAGTAATGATCTTTGCAAGCATGTATGACATCACACAAACCACTGATGCAAAGGGAGCTATTTTAGGGTCTGACTGAAAGAAGGGTTAATACTGTGGAAATTTGATTGGTCCCAAATTCTTGATGTTTGGCTAGTTAGACGAAGATGATGAATGCCAAAATGAGTGTTTATTCAGTGAACCTACATTTGGAAAGAGTCATCATATGCTTTTGGACTTTTGCAGTGTTTGCTTTCATGTGCTAAAAACTCAACAAAAATACTGATAAAAGAATTAAGAGTGAACTGTTTTTCACCTCTGCAACTGCCTCAAAAAGTGCTCTAGCAGTTGCTGACGAGGAGTTGATTCATTCTCTGTGTGAGAAAAGCACCAACGATTACAGTTAATAAAACATTTATATGTAAATAATAGGGCTGCAACAAACGATTATTTGGATCATCGATGAATCAGATTAAATGGGAAAATTAAAAATTCTATGGAAACATTTTTCTCTCCTTTTACTTTATTTAACAAAATATGATTCGAAAACAGTTCAATAGCATGCTAAACAACATAATATCACCTAAATGAATCCATAATTAAACTATGATCAGTAAAATTTTACTGTCTTTCATTAACATGTTCAGTAGCTTACTACTGAACATGTTAATGACATCTGACTTCTACAAAAATTCAACATATATATTATGTACGGGCTAGCAATAAACCAATTTAAATTATGTTCACACATAGACACGTTAGTGAATTACATGCTACAGTGGCTTGCCATAATCCTGCAGCAGTGTTTGGCAGAGCAGACTCGAACCTGACGGCAGCGGTTCTGCTCCTTAGTGCTGAAGTCAGCTAAGAATAAACAGGATGGTGGGGACTTTTCTTCCGCTTGTAGAGTTTAGATGTTCTTAGTTTCACGACCATCATGTTTTTTTCAGAACCCCACTTGATCATCAGCCTGCTACCTGCTAGCATTAGCTAATCTGCCCATAGTTGCTCTTTTGATCCCAGACCGTTTCTGCTTTTGTGTCTTTGCTGGTTTCTGTTTTCCCACACCACCTAGGTTAGCTCATTGTGCGTCAGTAAGCAACTTACTGTTCTAAGAGTATCGTTGTTACTCATCAAAACACCGGCTTTCTCTCTCGTTCTGATCTGCCTCAGTCTGCTCCGTTTCCACCTACACATGAGCTGCGCGCATTGACTGATAAAGGCTGTGCAACACGAAAACAAAGTTACACAACAAAACGAATCGATGACGAAATAAGTTGCCAATGCCTTTCTTCATCGATTTAATCAAATCGTTGTTGCAACCCTAGTAAATTATATTGTTTGATGTGTTAACATGCCGGCACTTTTGCCTTGTTGTGTTCGACATGATCTAACTGGTCTATCTCCTTGTTGTTCGACTTCTGACTTCACAGCAGGGTGAAACTTCTCCACTTCAAGCTCCCCTTCAAACCTGTCTTTCTTTTTTCTCTTCTCATCTGGCTGAAAAAATATAGATGAAATGTTAATGACATTGTAAAGTTCTCATTAAGAAATGATCATTCGTTATCTCAAGATGTCTTCTCACCTCTAATGAAACGCTAATACTTTTCGGCAGAGTGAAGGGTTCAATAGGCGGACCTCCACAGGCAGCAGCTGCTGTTTCCGATTCCTTCTGCTCCCGTTCTCTCCTCTTTCTTTTCTCCTCCTGTCAGGCGAAAGCACATTTTAAATTATCGAATCACTAAACATAAAATTTTTCTAGTACCAAAGCATTTTTTTTCTGGGTGTGAATCTAATTTTCTTGGCTATTTCAAATTAGTAGGACAAGCACTGAAAAAGCTATCCTAGCTCCTGAAGAGAATCATATTTTTGAAGTTTCAACAGCACTTATGTGGATAGATATACTATAAGCAGCTAACTGCGTGCCCCCATGTTCTGCAATTGGGCTGCCATTGACTGATGTGTGTCACAATGCTTTCTAACTGAATTATGACATTATTAGCATGATTGCTACGACTGTTCTGCCCTCGGCTTCCAGGTCTCGTCGTTCTTCTTGCTTCTCCTGCCAGTTGTTGCAGAACTCCCACACAGGAAGGATGCCTCAGGTTGAGTTTTTACATTTGTCACTCAGGAGACAGATGATTCTGCCCTGGACCAGAAGATCATTATGGCTTTGCTGGTTATGGACGTGATCAACGTGCAGGCGTCCAACTGTGGACCCGATGCCTGGATGTCTTCCAGGGTCCCACCAGAAACCCTTGCAAGCATTGCTTCTTATAGGTCGCCTCCCCCAGAGTGCCTCATGAGCAAGTGACGATGCTAGGGGCTCAGGCTTGGCTTGTGTTAACGAATACCGCATCCCCGGTGCAGAATGCACGCCCACTTTTTAGCAGTTTCAAATGGTGGTGTGTGTGCCTCATGGACAGGTGGATGGAAAAGAAGAATTTATCCCTGGTGTTGAGAACAAAGGGTTCCATTCCCAGCTTCCTCCTAAATCTGAAGAAGGAGATCAATCATGGACTGACTGTTGCGTATTGGTGAAAGCCCCAATAGAAACTATCATACTCAGTCACTCAAAACCATCCTGGTGTTGGCTCTAATATTGCAGCAGAGTGTGAAAACTATCTGCTGTCCTTCGTGACTCAGAACACAGATTCATGGCCACTCAGCCCAACGATTCCTAATCCAGCTTTTGGCCCAAAGTATCACTAAGTTTTCAAGCTCGAGTGATTATTTTGGATGGGATCCATCATTCTCCTTGTAACTCTGAGGCCGAAACCATGTTTTTCCTCTGCTCAGTGAGCACGGCCACACCACAGTACTCCCAGCATACATTTGTACAATACAGAGGCAATTCAGCAAAACATCTCCTGTCTGCTCGCATAGTAAAGTTTCGGGCTTTCGTGCAGAAGACCCGGGTTCGATTCTTGACGTGAACAGGGTTGTTTCAGAATTTCGTTTTTACATTAACGGTATATTTTTTACAGTAAGATGCCCAAATTTGTATTTGAGACTCGCCGAACGGCATTGAATTCACAGATAAAAAAGATGTGGGTTCAACTTTCATTTTGGAAAAAAATTTTCAAGCAAGGGAAGGGAATGATCTGAGCATGCAGGAGGACTGACCCATCATAAACCTTTGTCGGCTGTGCTGAAGAGAAAGGTACAGAACTAAATTATTTAATTAATTAGCTGTGTGTTCTCCTGTCCTCTGGGCCACCCACACACGCACACACACACACACACACGCACTGACGCACGCCTTACACACACACACACGCCTTACACACACACACGCGCACGCACGCACGCACGCACGCCACACACACACACACACACACACACACACAGGACTGTCAGCTCTCAGAGCTCTGTGAAGATGACGGGGGTCAACTTCACAGAGTATGGCGTCAGACCCGTGCCACATCCCGTGCACGCGGATTGGGTCCACATGGCACGTGTGAGTGGGACTCGCGAGTGAAAATATACATGGCGAGAGGTCATTTGTGCACTGAGAGGTAGCAAACTGTGTCTGTGAGCGCACAAGGATTTGCACAAGTGACAAACCTGCGTGCACACGTTGCCAACGAGCACACGGCAGAGGAGAACGTGCGCGCGCGGCAACCTCTCTGCGCGCTCGGTTTCTGACTCCGCTCACTCGGCTGTAAGGGGTTTTGGCACTCTGGAGGCGTGGCCTGTGGCAGATCTTTTCTGTCCTCTGATTGGTTAGTTTTGCCCGCACTTTACCCTCTACCTCATTGGCCCATTGGCTTCCTGTCGGACCAAAATGATGGGAGCTATATCTATATATAAAAATCTGATATTCAGTAGTTGTTGTCATAGCTCAGCTGGTAGAGCGGATGACTCTCCCCCCAGAGGAACCAGGTTCGAGTCCGGGCAAGGAAAATAGAGTAGATGTCATATTAATTTTTCCTAATTCCTGTGATATTATTTTACAGTTGTGACCGTTCAACTGTCATTAAACGTCCGAATGTTTGCTGGGCAGTGTTTTAAAAAGTGCACATAAGCTAGATGGTTTTAACCATATAAAATTATATTTTTTGTGATACTGGAAAAATACATACTGAAATAAAACTACTGATTGAAAACTTTATGACTGTGGTTGTACAATATATGACTCACTAATACACTGCAAAGGCCCTTAGAGTGGGGCTTCCAGAGAGAGAGAGAGAGAGTTAGAGAGAGTTAGAGAGAGAGAGAGAGAAAGAGAGAGAGAGAGCGAGAGAGAGAGAATTTGTATTCTGTCAAAGTTGTAATATTACTTCAGCCACTCTTGAGAGGAGACTCCAGGTAAAAATAGACTTGTGGGTGTAGGTATGTTCAAGTTTAAAAAGTTCTTGCCTCATTAATGTATTGTTTATTTTTGCAGCATTTAATTGACAAATTATCCTTTCAAATAATTAATTGATGAGTTACATAATTGTCCATCTAGAATTGTTGAATGGACTGAGTCAAGTTTGGTGCACTTTATATATTTCAAAACATGTTTTTTTTTATTTTAATGATGCATATAAATAATTTAAATGTTAATTTAATGAAATATTTCTATTTTTTCATTACCTCACCCTTGTTTTGACAAAAACAAGACCTTGTTGGATAATATCATGGAGAAACTATTTGTTCACAGTACATGGCTCAGTGAGGATCTGTATACCAAAGGAGGACATACTCAGAAATCTGTCTGCAGATTGTTACAACCCAGACTGGAAGTGGTGGGCTGTAATAAGAAAGGAGACCAAACAGAGGAGTGGGGGTTCAACAACTGATTTATTTAACCAAAGTAAGGATTACTTATCTCTCTGAACTGAATCTTCCCAAACTCTTAACGTCAGAAAACAATAGATGTAGAAAAAGCTTAATTTTTATATTTTCCTCTTCACATGTGGACTAAAAAGTCTTAAAACGATTTAAAAAATGTGACTCTGCACACAAATAATAACTGAACATATATTTAGGTTAATGTTTTCCACATTTCTACTTAGTGAGAGAAGTGAGCTCTTGCTTGTCCTGCCAGCATTTTGAACCTGGGCTTGAATGGAGACAGAGCCATCCTCATGCATGTGTGGAGATGCTCACTGGTGAGCCTGGAACGATATTTGTTTTTCATAATGTTCATTGTGGAGAACGCTGCCTCACAGTTGTGGTGGAACCAAACATGGTCAGGATGTACAGGGCTACTTTCTTTAGACGTGAGAAAGCTGTCTCAGGAACCATTTGGAGCCAGAATGAGGAAGGGTTAGTCCTGGCAGACAGTTCTTTCATGGCCAAGTTTGCCTGGAGGTCAACTAACTCCATCTGAAGATCCCTGGCATTGACCCATTTAAAATGCTGTGTGGCTTCCTTTGAGAAGCTCCTGACATCTGTGATGAGGAATGGGTTCTGAATGAACATGGTGAGCTGCGGGCCAATGCTGAAGCTATCAATAAGCTTATCAATGAAGTCAACAAACGACGAGACATCTCGCTGTCCCTGAACCTGTTCCTGCACGGCTGGGAAGTGGACACCGTCTTCCTGCAGGTCCTCCTTGAACATTTCAAGTTTTCTCTGAAAGGCACGGACAGCTGTCATTAGTTCACTAATGGAATTGTCCTTGCCCTGTAGCCTCAAGTTCAGTTTGTTTAGATGTGAAGTTATATCGACCAAAAAGGCGACATTGTCCATCTGCTTCTCATTTTCTAGACATGTAGAAAACTGTGTTGCCTTATGATGTTTTACCTCTGCCAAAAAAGATGCTACTTCCCTCCTAATGGCCCAAAAGCGTGCTAAAACTCTGCCTTTGCTGAGCCGTCTCACATTGTTGTGCAGCAGAAGATCAGCAGCATTGGCATCAACTTCTTTGAGGAATTCTCTAAGCATGCGATGCTGGTAGGAAGAGGACGCTCTAATAAAGTTGATCATTTTCATCACTGAAGTCATCACCTCAGCATGCTCATCTGACAGGGAGGCACAGAGGACCGATTGATGAATAATGCAATGGTAGGTTAAGAGGTCAGGGTTGTCTTTCTTCATTCTTGTTACAGCTCCCTCTTCTCTCCCTATCATAGCAGGGGCTCCATCTGTAGTTATTGAAATCACTTTTGTAGGCTCAATTCTTCTCTTTGCCAACATCTCTATAATGGCCAGGTAGATGTCCTCTCCTGTTGTGCTGGTCTGAAGAGGAGTAATACCCAGCAGGTCTTCATAGAATGCTTTCTGCTCTGCGTAATAAAACCTCACATAAACCAACAGCTGAGCATTATCACACACGTCAGTGGACTCATCCACAGCCAAACCTACACATGGTGCATTCTGTATGGCTTCATCTAGCTGGGCTACAACATCCTGAGTCAGAATTTCACTTTTCTTTGTAGCAGATGATGCTGATATGGGGATTTGCTTTATTTTTTCACAAACTTCTTGTTTTTCTTTTCCTTCAAACAGTATTTCAGCAACTGCTGTCATACACTCTTTGACAACCTCTCCATCAGTAAATGGTTTTTTGTGCTGACCCAAAATCCAAGAAACTCTGAGGGAACTCTCATGGGCTCGTTGCTGAGCAGTGAACGTGTGGCTCAGGATCCTGGTGGACTGTTCATATTGGGCTTTGAGACTACGTATTTTCTCTGATCTTACTTCTGATCTGAGGGGATATGTTTCTTCAAAACATTTGTGTTTTGTCTCATAATGGCGTTTCACATTGCCACTTTTAATAAGTGCCACTGTTTCTGAATATATGAGACAAACAGGTTTTGTGCCACCAGTGGGAAGAACAAAGAGAAATGACTCTGTCCATTCTGGATTAAATGCTCTATTTTCGCTGTCCACTTTCCGTTTTTTAGAGGCTGCCATTTCTGCTTTTTCTACTTCTCTCCGTCTCACCCGCCTGAATCTAGTCTTCTCTCCCCCTTAATCTCTCCTCATCGCCGCTCTCCTGTTCTCTGCCTGAATGTCTTCTTCTTTCCACCGCTCTCCACCTGAATCTCTCGTTTTCTCTGTTCGAATTTCTGCTCTTCGCTGCTCTCCTCTCCCTCTGAAACGTTTATGTTTGCTACGTATCGGCTGTATTTTCTGGCAGGAATGCAACGTGTTTATTGGCTTGTTGGCGTCACGTGGTCTGGCTAAACTCGTGTATAATTGGCCTGTGGGATTTCATGGATGCTAGAATACTACCGTAAAGAATGCAATAGCTGCACCGGCCAGAAGCGGTTACAAAATTTGGCGAACTTTATTTTGGCATTAGGCTCGGGTCCACACCAGACAGCATTTCGGTCCGGATCCGGATAATAGTAATCTCTGCACTAGATGCTGTTCGTACGGCTGGTCATAGATTTTCTTATATAGAAACATTTTCATGCAGAAGTACAAAATGATGAATACCACACAATGCATAAATTGGTTCCAACACAGATTTGTGCATAAGTACTGTTGACAAATGACCCCACAGGTGTCCTCCTTCAGCCTAATTTATACTTCTCCGTCTGCGTTGGGACGGCAACGCCATTGTCTGTCCTTTCAAGGGCTCACCGACAGGCTCACAGAGACGAAAAGAGTCAAGTTCTGCTTTCTAAACATTTGTCTGTCCAGACAGAGAATGCACGCTTGTGATTGGTCAGGACGCTGCTGTCGTCTACAGCGCTGCCATTGTGCCCTCAAAAACATAAAGGGAACAGAGGATATCTAACAGCAGACACGCAGAAGCTTGAAGAATACCTCGCGGAAAACTCTAAAAATATGAAGGTACAGAGGTCACAAGCACATGAAGAGGTGGAGGAGGATGAGTGTCAAACTCGACAGTTAAAACGTCTCTTAAATACAAAAAACACAATATAAACACACTCTTGGATCGGATACTAGGGATGTAACGATTCACTCAAGCCATGATTCGATTTGATTCCTGAATCACTATTCCGATTTTTGTCATGTCGGTATTTTGTTCACCCTTTTATTTGTAAATATGAAGAAGCCAAAATGCTGCCACACTGCTGACTTCAAACTGATTGGAGGGCCCACTATCTCGAAGTGGCTTGCTGTAGCAATGCTTGCCTCTAGTGGTGTGACTGATCGTATCACGGTTTTCCGTCAGGGATCGGGTTATTTTTCAGATCAGCAGAAAGAAGAAGAAAAGGAAAAAGAAAAAGCTTTGCCTTTTGGGCAGATAAATGAAAGACATTATGGTTTTTAACAGGTTTTATCTGAGCACGTTTAAGACGAATGTTTTAAAGTCAGTGAGTCAGGATTATTTTCTCTGCTCCCTGGGTCCTAATAACGGGTCACATTGAGCTTTTCAACCCAACAGCATAACAGTTTAAGCCCATCTACATGTTTATGAGCTATGCTGATGCTCAAGGGCAGAACTGGGTGATTTGTATTATTTCTGTAAGCTCGTGAAAACTCACAACACTGCGTCTGTAGAAAAACATTACTGCATTTAAGTAGGGGAACTTTGCCACAATATACATTTAAGATGGAGGTCTGATAACTCAAATAATTAATTAAACAGACACATTTCTTTATTTATATTTAAATACTGTATAGAATACTGTATGCACCCTAAGAGTCCATCCTGTTACGGAAAGAAAATCATAAATTTATTTTGTGAAAATCTACAGAACAATTCAATTCAAAAATACTTTATTAATCCCAGAGGGAAAGTGATTGCTGTAGTAGCTCAGAATAATAATAATAATCAAGTCATCAAAGATTTATTGTATATTACAATGCTGGCACAGATCTGCATCAATAAATTATATACACTATTGTGATTACCAATAAAGTAAAAAATAAATGATACCAGTCTGGGGATTAATGTTTTACTAAATCTGGGGCAGCTGAGATTGTGTCCCATACCCATAAAATACATAATGTTGGTATGAAACTCACTCCAGTAGCTCAGAGTACACGCCTGACCTTTACATTCATTTGTTAAGGGAAGAATACTCTATTTAATGTGTGTAAAATAAAAAAACAAAAATATTTGTTGACTAAAACCTTTTTGAATTTTAGCCGACTAAAACCGACTAATCCTAAAATGCTTTCTCGTCGTCAAGACTAAGACTAAAAAACAGATGCCCGCCAAAAATCAACACTGGTTTCGTGGCACCATTTCTCTGTTCACTAACCTTCCGTCGCCTTCGCTCCTCTTCATCCACATATTTGTCTTTATCCTTTTCAGATTTTTTTTTCTTCTTTTTCTTCTTCTCTTTGTGTCGTTCTCGCTCATGGTCTGACCTGTCATCAAAGTCGTGGCCTGAACCAGAAAGTTCTGTCACTTCACTCCCCCCAACTTTCAGCTTGATCTTCAGCGGCTTTTCAAGAGCTTTATCCTCAAAATCTACAAACAAAAAGAAAACCAATTACCATCAAATTTTGGAATGGGACAAATAATTTAATGGCTGTACCAAAGCCAAGTAAGTGAGTTAACATCTTATACTTTTTGTTTAAACAATATTGACAGTCAATGGCATTAAACACTCATTTGTCAAATGCTAATTTAGGAGTAACATTGCGTAGCTAAATGTGACAAGTTTGGCCTTGGCACTAGTAGATTGTTAAAACAACTTCCTGCTCTTATATTTTGATAAAATTTTGGAATTCATAAAACACACTTTTTTGAGCAGATTGCACCAGAGAAAACAACAGTGTATTTTGGGGCAACAACCATTAAACAAATATTTGAGGCATCAAAATCAAGAGTAGATAAGATTTAAATTAAGTTTAAGATTTTAGCAAGCCCTAAAACTGAACATTAACAGCCAACTTATAAATAGCACCCGATACCTTCAGCAGTTAATGAACTGCCTCTAATAATTTTAGCAAAATATTTAAATAGGGCGACGCATTTCTGTATTTATTTTTTATTTAACGCACACAAACATAGTACTGTCTTCATTCAAAATTTCTGTCTTGTTTTGACCTAACGTTTTCAGTTGTGTAATTGAAATTTCAACTATCAATTACTCAATACTCATTTTATTTTATGTCAGGAAGTAAAGATGGATATTTGATCGTGAATGGCAGAGCAGAGAAATATTAATGTGTTAAAAACAACTGCCTATCTCATGTGTCCTTTCCTAATCAACTTTCTGGTGGAAATTTATACAAAGTGAAATTTAAAAGTATAGATGTGTAGTTTGTTATTAAACAACACTAGGTTTTACTAAGAATCTACAATTTACCAGTTGCAATTAGCTAACGTAATGCTAGCTAAAACAAAAACACGTAGTTTGACGACAATAAATTAAAGAATTAGGTACCGCCAACTGTTATCCACTCCGGTTTATGTTTCTTGCGCTTTTTCCCCATATCTTCGACAACTCCGTCAAGTTTTAGTGTTAATAGGAGTGCTCCAATCACGGTGTACGAACAGAACGAAAATAGGTAATAGCATTAGCGACAAAAAACAACAACCGGATGTAAACCTTTGTCAGCGTAAGTTTCACTTCCGGTGTCATAATTCAGCGCGCTGAATTTAACGGTTGGTTTTCTGACACCGGTGCTGTTTCGTGAAAAGGTACAATAAATTTGATTGACGCAAGCAGTTAGTTTAACATCAAACCCCGTTTAAGTTGTGGTTAGCATTTGTCAGCTATGTTGTATTTTGAATTGACGCATTTGAGCTAGTTAGCTAGCACTGGAGGTTTGCTCCAGGACCGAATGACAAATATTTTCTGCCTTCCCTTGATGTAGAAGGATGGAGACTGATCGAATGGAGACGGCCAGCAAGCCAAATATCAACGTGGAGGTCCACGTCAAATCCGTCAGGTAAGTCATGCGTTGGTATTTGAAACGTTGGTGGAGTGACGGAAGACACCAGATTCAACATTTTCAGCTTCTTCATATCATACTTTTAGGAAATCTAGCTATTTGGTGTCGTGGCAAGGTAGTGAACTAGCTACAATGTAGTTAAAAAACACGTTCTCAGTCGTGCTCAGGCCCCTATAATCCTGTTTTTTATGAGGTTTAGGTTAATTTTTATGCTGGGTTGGTCCTGTATTTTTTTTTTTTTTTTGACATTTTTTTTTACAAACTATTTGTTTTTGGGGTTGGTCCTGTATCTTGGAGTGGTATGACTCAGTGATGACAAAGTTTAAGTTAAAAAAAAGATAACCAGTTTATTACAATCTAATCCATGTTAAATACAAGCATTGATACACCGATACCGCGGTGAAGTTAGCTTGAATTTGGTACGTTGGATATTCGAGAGACATTCGTACACGGTCAGCGACAGTCTTCATGCCGTGGTGCACCGCGGCACAAACAGCGGTTAGCTGAGTTCCGAGGACTCGCTCGCTTAGGGACTATCAACAAATTTGTAGTCCTTTGTAAACGAGTACAAAAAAAATTAAAAGCTTCCATAATAATTTGCTAAATGACTCATAATTACTTCTGACTTGTGTTACTAAACTACATGTACAAGACACAACAGTTTTAACACATTTCACACAATCTGATCTTTTTATTAGGATTTTATTCAAAAATTAAGGGACTTTTTTCAATAGCTCCAGTCTAAATACACAAAACCATTTCTCAGTTGTGTTACTAAGCCAGACCAATGAGACACATTAGGTTTTAACACCTTTCGTACAATCTGATCTGTTTATTAAGATTTTCATGAAAAATTCTGTGATTTCTTTCAATACCTCTTAGGTTAATTGATTTTACTTCTCAAAACCATTTCTCAATTGTGTTACTAAGCTAGACCAATGAGTCTCAGCAATTTTTAACAACATTCATACAATCTGATCTTTTTATTAGGATTTTTATCAAAAATTAAAGGATTTTTTTCAATAGCTCCTAGGTAAATCAGTCTAAATACACAAAACCATTTCTCTATTGTGTTACTCCGCTAGACCAATGAGACACAGTTTTTAATACATTTCATACAATCTGATCTTTTTTTATTGGGATTTTTATCAAAAACTAAGGGATTTTTTTCAATAGCTTCTCGGTAAATTTGTCAAAACCCCCTAAACCATTTGTCAATTATGTTACTAAGCTAGATCAATGAGACACAGCAATTTTTAACATCTTTCATGCGATCTGATATTTTTTTATTAAAAATTTTAACACAAATTAAGTTTTTTCAATAGCACCTAGGTATAGTCAAAATACCAACAACCATTTCTCAATGTTGTTACTAAGCTAGATCAATGAGACACAGCAGTTTTTAACACCTTTCATGCGATCTGATCTTTTGTTATTAGGATTTTATCAAAAATTAAGGGATTCTTTTCAATAGCTCCTAGGTCAATTAGTCATAATACCCAAAACCATTTCTCAATGATATTACCAAGCCAGACCAATGAGAAACAGCAGTTTTTATCACATTTCACAAGATTCAACATATTTTATTAAGATTTTTATCAAAAAGTAAGGGATTTCTTTCAATAGGTCCTATGTTAATTGCTCTAAACACCCAAAACCATTTCTAAATGATGTTACTTAGCCACACCGATGACACACAGCAGTTTTTGATCACATTTCACAAGATCTGATCTTTTTGTGTGTGTGTGTGTAGGTGTGTGTGTGTGTGTCCTGTCTGGCTTTGCATCAAACAGAATTGATGTCTGAATGCTGGTGACAAGCCTTACAGATTTACTCTCAGGTGGAGCATCAAAGCGTCTGCTTTTAATGTCACTCCTTATACTTAAAACTTTATTGTTGTTGAATGCATTGTAATTCCGACCAGACACGGAGACAGAGGTGAAAGAGAAAGGAAAAGACAAAAGATTGGGGGGGGGGGGGGGGGGGTCCCCACAAAATTAACCCTTTGATGCATAATGGTCACTACAGTGGACAGGTACTCAAAATTGTTATTTATTTATTTTTGCTGTTAAGCACAGCTGTTGAAGACTTTATTGCATTTAAGCCCCTCCAGTTGGACTTCAGTAAGTCAAGCCAACATGTTTCATGTTCAGATTGCACGCTGTCCACTGAGGTACACATGTAATAAACTATGTGTAAATTAAATGTTACAAAAATATGTAATATGACATTTGTTTCATTCACACCTAGAGATGAATGAAAAAAAATTGTTTAAAAATCATGGTTGAAGATTTCATAATTCATGCATCAAAGGAATAAACAATAATGAACAAGAATCTGCTTCTAGACCTGCAGAAAGAGAGAAGAAAAAAAAAAGACAAAAAAAGGGACACACAACAATACAACAAGATCAAGCTATCACTGCTTCAACTTGATGAGGAAATACATAATCAACATTGTTTAACTGAACAATCACACGATAATAAATCACAGGCTGTGTCTCAATTCAGGGTCTGCATCCTTCGAAGGACCCAGCCTACTCGGCCGGGTAGACCGGATGTTAACGGCTGTGAATTTGGACAGGCCTAGCCTCCATGAATTCCCGCCATTCCCTCGGCGAACGTTCCGTCGCCTAGCAACCGTGGAACCGCTTAGCAGAAGGGAGAAGGAACTTGAAACGATGGAGCTTGAAGTTTTTTTCCTTGATCGTTGGAGAGCTAATTCAGAGAAAATACTTTAGACAAGCTGAGCCTGAGCAAAGACGTGATAATAGTGTTTAATACTTTCTAAGGTTCTTAAATTGACCAAAACCGATTTATCACCTTTTAAGACTTTTCAAGACCCAGCGGATACCCTCTAGTAAACAATTCTCATTTGTAAACAAAAATAAAATTCAAGAGTTTAATACAGAACTGATTTTATTTAGATATTTCTTTATGTACATGTTTAATCTTCCTTAACCATTTTTTCTAGCAAAGTAAAAAGCTGTCAAAGTTCTCCTTCTCTCCTGTGCCCTCTGCTGCTCTGCCTCCCTCTGCAGCCTCATGTCCTCCCTGATCAGCTCCAGAAGCTGGTCATCGCTGTCACCTTCCCCTGGATGCCCATTTTCTCCAGAATAGTTTTAACAAACATGTAAGAAAAAAACAGGAAGAGAAAAGAGGACAACGGGTTATTCCTTTCATGTTTTCACAGAAAAAACTTAAGTCAAACGACAGTTTTTAAAATATGAGATGTTATTGTACCTCCATGCCACAGCCGCCAAATACTTTGCTCCAGTGATCATGTGGTCCATCTCCGCCCTAAGCTTAATAAAGTCCCTGGTTTTCTCTTGTCCCTAAAATACAAACTCCTATTAAAATCAGGGGGAAAACGTAGCGGGAGAAGTACGACACCGAGCGGCCGAACATACGAGCCGAGACCGCAATACAAGCACTTCTACTGTAACATTTCTAACTAAAATAACGTTCATGTATCACAAAAAACCCTTAACCTAACAGTTTTCAAGTTTATACTGACATTTATATACGCAATCCTCTCCGACAGCTCCCGCTTCACTGTCCGCCATTGTTTTCAAGTTTTTCTGCCGGCCGGCCCGCAAGGCATCTTGGGAAATGCTACCTATTGAAGGATACACCGGACCCATCCTTCATTCAGGCGAAAAGAAGGCCAGATTCGTCGACCGCATTTGAAGGAGTCTTCGAATTGGGACAGGCCTAGTCGCGGCGCTGTGACGTTGTCGCGTGCCCGTCCCATTTACCGGTTCCTTTAAAACCTAGTTCCGTTAGAACTTATGAGACGGTGCATCCATCAGGGTTCGATGGGGATGTCGGTGAGTATTATAGTATTAGATCCTGGTTTGGGCGTCCTAAGTTAGAATCATATCTTTTATTTTAAAGGTGAAATAATATGTAAGACCTTTCCTTCTGTAGTAGCTCACTTCTTTTTAAGCAATCCCGTTATCTTAAGGTTTCTTTATATTAATCTGTCACAAACCGTAAAGTAAGTCCTGATAATTCCAGAACCCGTAATTAATGTGCTTACCTCTGTGCAATTAATGATCAGAGCCCCCACTCGTGAAGCTTTAGAGAAAACCTGAAAGAATCAGGATTATGTTTCTTTTTCAAAAAAGGTTTATTACAAAATCAAAATACAAAAATGGGTAGATGAAAAAACAACTGCTATCCCCCACGGAGGAATTAGTTCAAAATGATTAAATAAGAGTTAGTTTACACCAGCTCTTGTCTTCTCAGAATCTCCCCAAAACTCTCCCTCTCTCTCTTTCTCTCCTAAGAGTCTCTTCTGTCATCCCCCATCCAGGCTTGGACGGGGGATGACCCCTCCAAATCTGCTCTGTCTCTTCTTGTCCTCTGCCCCAGCTGCTATCCGCTCTCCCAATCCCTCTCTGCTGTTCAGAGCTGTTCTTATATACCCTTCCTGGACCAGCTTAAGGTCAAGGGGTCATTTACCAGATACACACTTTGTAGCTCAACACAAAACATTTGGTGTCATTTTCACTACATGCAGCATTCTTCTTAACACAGGTCATTACATCATCTTTTGCAGCATTCTTCAGTTTCTCTCCAATGTTCCCGAGAGGACTTCTGGATCTGATGGGCTTGTCTTCACTCTGTTCTCCTCCAATCCCATCTTTCCAAGCCAGGGGTGGGGCAAAGAGGTGGGGTCAGTCTCCTGACCCTTCGCTCAGTTCTGTCCTCTTGTCCCTGTGACCCTTGTGTGACCCTTGTTTCTGACCACAGTTTTTTGACCTGCAGCCCAGCTCCTGTCGGCTGGCTGATTTTGCTCGCACAAGCCAGTCCAGTGTGTTTCAGCTTGCCACTGTCTTTGGCATGTGGGGACTCGCAACATCCCCCATGCGAGAAAAATCTAGCCAGGGGACTGCAGCAGCCTTCTTTGGGGGTGGGGCTGCCTCCTCCTCTGGATCATCTTCATCTCCAGTCTCAGACCCAGAGTCTGACAGCTCAGAGTTCAGATACACACCATCATCATCACTCACTTCAGTCTCTGAAGAACCAGATGTTTGTTCATGAGGGTTCAGATCTGGGTTCCTGCTTCTCCACCAGTTTCTGTGGCCATCTGGTCAGCTGAGCTGCTGGTTGGAACATCTCAGTCTCCTCCTTCAAGCACAGACTCTCTCCCTCCAGACTGAAGACATTTTTTACTGCAGAGCTTCAAATATTCTCCTCACACACCTGAACAGCAACAAGCTAACTCTGCTAGCAGCTGCTGGTGGGAAGCTTACGCTAAAAACTATAAACTGTGGCAAGGTGGATAAATGAGGAGCAGGCGGGATTCGATCCCGAGACCTTCGGGGTGGGAGTCATACGCTCTAACCACTCAGACAAAGGGATATCCCCTTGGCCAACTGGCCAGGACGCATTATCAATCGGGACATTGTGACAGAACGCTCACACTGTCACACCTTCCCCCCTCTTTCCACAAGCGCGTCCTCGTACTTCCGCGCAGGGTGCCACAAACTTCACATCCATGGACCTACTTGACAGTTCTACATGGATCCTGCCAACAACACCATATGTGGCAAGGTTAAAAATGCTTACGCATTATTAGTGTAGCTGTCTGTCAGGTCAGAATCATACGGAGCTGTTAGTTCAGGACTCTCCCTTCTCAACAGAACTAGTAGGGGGAGGGGTGATGTCACCACATCCTGCTTGTCTGTTGTTGCTCAGCTGACTGAGTGCTTTTTCTCTGTTCAGCTGTGGCTTCTCATATCTGCAGGCTGCCGAGAGCGGAAGCTAGGTGCTTGTTTCAAGCAGATCCTCTAAAAACAAAGTTTAATTGGAGCAGAGTTCCAATGCTCCCAGTTATAAGTCCGTCCTTTACAGGCGGCACGGTTTCTCCCCTCACGGAGCCCTTAAGCACAGAGGTTCACACATTATACATGTTCCCGGCTTCTAGCCTCCATTGCGCGTGACGATGCCCGACATGAGATTCTATGAAGCTAGGAAACATGATTACTTTACAGTTCGTGACAAATACCTCCCCGTGTTACCAGAAACGAGGCCCAAGTCACACAGATTCTTACATATCAGTCCTTCACTAGATTTTGATCCAGCCATGACGTTTAATCGCATCTCACTTGTGCCTCAGCACCCGGACAGCGCCCCGCCGCAGCTCCATACTAGCTTTTCCAGCCTCATTCTGAAAGCTCCGGTTACAGGATATTGAAAGATCTATCTGCCATGGCTGGTTAAAAGTTTTTCTTATTCTTTATTTATTTTTATTTTTTGCCTAGCTTTTATCCTTGGCTTTTCTTGCGTCGGAATGCCGTATTTTCTTTATACCTTTTTAAGTTGATCGTCCGTTCTCCCAGATTTCTTTCCTTTTCGAGAAACTGGTGCGGTTTTCACTCCAAGGTTATAAGCTTAATAGGTCCTTAGCGCGCAAGCTTTTATCAGCCTAAAAGACAGTTCTACGTCGGATAGCCCGGTATCTAATATTTAGACCTTCACTCCGTAGCCCCACGTTGCAGGCGCCATGTCGCGAACGTGGCATTTACCGTGCCCCACGTTGGGAAGCCATGTCGCGTGCCCGTCCCATTTACCGGTTCCTTTAAAACCTAGTTCCGTTAGAACTTATGAGACGGTGCATCCATCAGGGTTCGATGGGGATGTCGGTGAGTATTATAGTATTAGATCCTGGTTTGGGCGTCCTAAGTTAGAATCATATCTTTTATTTTAAAGGTGAAATAATATGTAAGACCTTTCCTTCTGTAGTAGCTCACTTCTTTTTAAGCAATCCCGTTATCTTAAGGTTTCTTTATATTAATCTGTCACAAACCGTAAAGTAAGTCCTGCTAATTCCAGAACCCGTAATTAATGTGCTTACCTCTGTGCAATTAATGATCAGAGCCCCCACTCGTGAAGCTTTAGAGAAAACCTGAAAGAATCAGGATTATGTTTCTTTTTCAAAAAAGGTTTATTACAAAATCAAAATACAAAAATGGGTAGATGAAAAAACAACTGCTATCCCCCACGGAGGAATTAGTTCAAAATGATTAAATAAGAGTTAGTTTACACCAGCTCTTGTCTTCTCAGAATCTCCCCAAAACTCTCCCTCTCTCTCTTTCTCTCCTAAGAGTCTCTTCTGTCATCCCCCATCCAGGCTTGGACGGGGGATGACCCCTCCAAATCTGCTCTGTCTCTTCTTGTCCTCTGCCCCAGCTGCTATCCGCTCTCCCAATCCCTCTCTGCTGTTCAGAGCTGTTCTTATATACCCTTCCTGGACCAGCTTAAGGTCAAGGGGTCATTTACCAGATACACACTTTGTAGCTCAACACAAAACATTTGGTGTCATTTTCACTACATGCAGCATTCTTCTTAACACAGGTCATTACATCATCTTTTGCAGCATTCTTCAGTTTCTCTCCAATGTTCCCGAGAGGACTTCTGGATCTGATAGGCTTGTCTTCACTCTGTTCTCCTCCAATCCCATCTTTCCAAGCCAGGGGTGGGGCAAAGAGGTGGGGTCAGTCTCCTGACCCTTCGCCCAGTTCTGTCCTCTTGTCCCTGTGACCCTTGTGTGACCCTTGTTTCTGACCACAGTTTTTTGACCTGCAGCCCAGCTCCTGTCGGCTGGCTGATTTTGCTCGCACAAGCCAGTCCAGTGTGTTTCAGCTTGCCACTGTCTTTGGCATGTGGGGACTCGCAACAACGTAACCGGCCGACGAATCCGGCCGACGTAGGATGCAGACCCTGAATTGAGGCACAGCCACAGTGCATTAAGTGCCCACCATAGTCTTAAGACCTGTGTTGAACGTGCCCAAGTCCATACTTTTGAGAGCACCTATGTGTGTACACGCGCTTGTTTATGTAAGGTTTATCTATAGGAGCGTCCAATAGAGAGTGTGAGGGACCACAGATCTGCCCCCCAAAGATGTGTAGGAGATGGGGGGAGCTCCAAGTCCCAGAGATCCAGGAGTTGCCCCAGAACACAGGAACCCCAAGGAGACTGCGACCAGAAAAGCCCCCGCCCCCCTCGAGAGGCGCAGAGGATCGCCCCGGGGGGCCACAACCAGCAGCCAGAACTGGGACAGAACAGGGACCCAGACCCCACCAGGCAGCCACCGGGATTGGTCAGGCAGATGCCAAAAATCTTAAACTCCCTGACCCGAGAGCCACGACCCAGGCAGACCAAGGCACCTCAACAAAAAGGGACTGGACTGATAAACGCACGCATGCACACACACTCACACACACGCACGCACACACACATGCAAACACACTATCACTAAGCTCAACTCAACTACCTGAAAGCATGAAGGCTGGACTTAAATATTAACCATTTAATGCTTTTTGCATGTTTACTGTTCCTTCACCACCTACATACTAAGTATGTTTAGTTTTTTTTATTTAGTTTTTTCCTTTGCACTACCTACTGGGAGAGGTCATGTCATATTAGGTCAGTCTGTTCTGTCCTTAATTAGATAGTTGAGTGTTTTCCCTGTTATTTTATGTTGTAAATTTATGTTGCATGTAGCACCTTGGTCCTGGAGGAACGTTGTTTCGCCTCACTGTGTACAAACCGTATATGGCTGAAGTGACAATAAAGTCCAATTGATTGATTGATTGAAACTGGTTAATCCTTGCAACCCTATCCATTTGGTGACCTGGTTCCTTTTACTGGATCAGTAGTCTGATTTTTTTAAAGAACAAACACTCCGGCATACTTTTTGTACTGGACAGATAAAAAATGGGGACACGACTCAAAGAGCAATAAAAGATCCCACAGGTATTACTAATGAAGTTGTTACTGAGAAAAACTGATAATGTTCATGTCTGTGTTCCAGCACAGCAAAACTGTCTGAGGTGCGTACACAAGTTGAGGCTCTACTGAATCGTCACAGTGTATTTTTTGGGAACTACAAATGGACAGAGTTTGATGAAGAGTTCCTGCAGAGGAATGTAGAATCAGTAGCTATTGTTGATCTTGAAGTAATGTCACAGGTAGGTTGTTTTGGTTAAGAGTTATTTAAGACTAATATTTTCAAATAACTTTTAATTTTATTTTATTTCAGCTACTTGATTTAAAGAGCTGCTCTGTCTCTATTCATATCTTCACCCTGAATGAGGAAGTGCCCAACATGCTCAATTTACAGGAGGATGAGGACCTCTCAGCAGCAAATCACTGGATGTTGCCAGCAG